AAAGAGAGAGAAAAAAGAAAGCAAATAATTCCATAATAATTCAAAGTTTAACTTAATAATTTAAAATTTCAAGTTTTGTTTTTATTTATAGATGTTTAAATTAGCAAGTTTAAATTTGGCAATGATTTTCTTTTCATATATTTGAGCTTCTGTACGTTTGAGTATATTTCAGGAACTATACATAAACTACTAAACTATATAGTCTGCCTGCAGTAAAGCTGAATTCCTTGAAGACAGTCAGCAGGAAAAGCTAACAATGGGCGTGGGTACTGGAAGTCTCTCCAGACCTCAAGATGATTCCCATTTCAGAAACTATTGTTTACTATACTTTATGTCTGCTTCCATTCCGGCAGTAATAGCTTGCCCAAGCAAGGGTTGACAAGAATGAAATCTAAATGAATGATGATTGTTGATGCGGCAGTTAAAGCATATAATTAAAATACATTTTTCTCTGTGCTTACTTTGTTTTGTTTACCCAGACTGAAAGTGTGTCTGTTTCACAATCGTCTGAAAATGACACCTCAGAGCTTCAGGTAATGTGTACATTTATTTCAGTAATGAGTAAATGGTTATTTTTCCTGACTCTTTCCATCACATTTGATTGCTGAGTTTCATCCACATGACTCTTTGTTCCTGTCTGTGTTGCAGAGCACAGAGGAAAACACCTCAAATCAGGTGAGTTATTTTGGTTCTGAAATGTCTTCAGAAAACCTTCATCCTAACACATAGATCAAAATCATTTTTCTGTTTACTGAAAATGTCTCTGTTTTTTTTTTTATACAGAGCTCAGAGTCAGAATCATTAGAATCCACAGACAACACATTGGAGGACACATCAGAGGACACTTCAGAGGACACTTCAGAGGACACATCAGAGGACACGGTGGGTCCTATTAGCAATCCGTGTAATATTTTACTGTTATCCTTCAACAAGGTTGCTATTTCCATTTCATAATCTTTAAAGCATTAGCAAATTGTTAGGATTTCTGGGTGTAACCTTGGATATCAGATGATACAAATGAATAAACCTGGAATAAATCTGATATTTGCATCCTTAAATGGGTTTCATTTCCACAAACAGACTTCAGAAGAGAGTGACAGTCAGTCGGATGAGGTAAGATGAAGTAAAACAACTTCTTTTACTTAGTGTATTATGTGTAGTAAAGAATTACACTGTTTCTTCACCTCTGTTCCACAGATGGACTCCATGCTTGACACCAAAGATGATAGTATGGGCAGTGAAGAGAATGTCAGAAAGGTGCGATAAATCTTTTACGTTATCAAATTATTTCATTTAACCTGCTTAAGTAGAGGTTACAGTTAGTTAACACAGTGCTCTCTTTATTCACCGCTTTAGAGCTGGGTGCGAGTGTTTACAAATACAGTGAAAGCCCTTAGCGCAGAGGACAGCAATGAGCTGCCGGACACAAACCTGCTGGTGAACCCCACAGACAGCAGTGACAGCACCAGTGACAGCATAGAAACCACAACTGCCACCAATGACAGCAATGAAAGCAAAGACAGCTCCAGCAGCGAGAGCAGCGAGAGCAACGAGACCAAAGACAGCAGCGACAGCAGTGACAGCAGTGACACCAGCATGAGTACAGAGGACAGCAATGCCAGCGACAGCACCGAGCTGAAACAACTGAAAGCCAGGGACTGTGTGAATGGCACTCAGAGCTGCGAAAGTGAGGAGCGTTTCTTCCAGAGTGTAGGAGATGATGCTCATTTCTCAGTGGATAATCTGATGGTGCCAGATGAGGATGACAGGGAGTTAATGCTGCGAAGATGATGACATGCTCTTGTGCAGCCTCTCATTTCCCTCTATGAACTCTAGCACTATGACTAGCCTGAACACTTCAGGATGATAGATTTTGTTTTATAGATTGCTTTATGTTTATAATGACATAATGCTACATGCAGCTGATTTTTGTGTGAAAATTATCGAGGTGATATTATCCCAAGTGTTTACTTTGTTTTTATAATAATAAATAAATAATATAATCATGGATTTGGGGCTTGTGGTGTGTTGGCATACCATTTTAATCAAGGATTTATCCATCATGCAATTTTATAACAGGCCAATACATAAAACTGTACTCTCTACTTTTTAAAATATTTAGAAAATTATAGTAAAATACATTTAATAACTGCCTTGCAAATTC